ACACAGACAACCCTGTAACAATATGCGTTTTGTACTGCTGTTACACAGCACAAAACGCATAAAAACTCGGATTATCAAAAATCATCCCGAGACGTCAGTGTGATACATCCTCACAGCGATTGCATTTATGCTATGCCCCCCACCCCCGCTCTGTGCTGCATGCATTCAATTAGTACCGACCACTTACGCTACCAAGTGCGGCATTAAAACATTGGGCAAAAGCAACGCTGCAAAAGGAAACCATAGGTTGTCACAATATGCGTTTTTGCATTTGCATATATGCAAAAATGCATAATAATAGAGTAGTGACATGACTTCCTGAGATAAATTAGTGCAGTTGGCAACAAAAGCAATGAAATACCTTAGCTTCGCCTTCTGCTGCTTTATTTTACCGTTATCCTCGAGCAGGAAAAGACGAGTCCGCTCCGCATCCGCCAGTGCTGCGCTCAGTTCACTGACTTTCGCTTTCAGCATATCAATTTCGGCTTTGCCACTGCCTGCGTTCTAAAAAAACCATACTTTATCTCCCTGCATCTCATTCTAGCGGCTTCAAAACGTACTTTATTTTCCATAAAATAGTAAAACTCGGAAAATAACGGACTGATTGCATGTAAATGTAACGGTAGGTGTGAAACATACAAGCGGGTCAATCAACCCACTAAGGATGTTTTTCTCCGCAACAATCATTAACTCTTCCAAAGGTTAGCTGCGAAGCAAACTGAGAGAAATCTGATTCTCTAAAATCCTGGCTAAGCACTCGTGTTGAACAGAAAAAAAAAAGTAAATTGGATATCAACAATTCCAGATCTGAGTTCGTTCCTGGGTCAGACTGCAGAACACAACATACAACCGACAGCGACTGCTTAAAGACGCATAGTTTTTGACGGAGAATAAACAAACAAACAGTTTTTGACGGAGAATAGCTCTGGCACCTGTGCTTTGCTCTCCTCCACTGTTTGAATACTACGCATCCATTCGCGGCGTTCGGCGTCGAACTTGGACTGGCATAATTCAGTGTTCCTTCGTAGTTCAGCCATCTCGTAAACTAGCGTCTCTTCACGCAGTCGATACTGGAACGAAACAAAACTTAGGATGTGAAAATTTAGCAGCACAGTTAATCCAGGCACCCAACAGTTTCAAAATGCGCTACATTTGTCGAGAAATAATAATAATAATAATAATAATAATAATAACAATAATAATAATAATAATAATAAGGATAATAATAATAATAATAACAATAATAACAACATCAATAATAATAATAGTTAACACCGTAACCGTCGCCGTATTAACGAGATCCAGCTGTGGTGCTGAATTAAAACATATACAGCTCTCTGGACCGAAACGTCTCAATCCCGACTAATATGAATATGTAGACATATTTTGGAGGCGCTCTATGCTTCTTTCTTCTGCCCACGCCTTGCCAGTCCTTCCCATTCCCAAACTT